TAACCCCCACGATCCTTCAAGTAAGCTTCCCCGGTAGTACCCTTTTGCCTTTTTTTCCTTTTTGGATTCCCTATTGAAGCCAAATAGTGGGAAAAAGGGTACCCTTATCCTTAAGGGGCTACTGGGGAACCTAGGTAAGGTTGAGTTTGCAGCCAGAGTTGAAGAGCCTCAGACTATTCTCAGCCCTCCCTAAACCGTTCTCAAACAAGTCGGCATCCGAGAGGAGCTGGTTTCTGGTCAGTCGCCGAGGAGGCTGACGACGAGATTGTTTAATATAGGGGCCTAAATAATTACCTATACTATATTTTGGTGGATCCTTATTGTAATTATAGTATAGTGTACCCCAAAACCCAATTCTAATCATTAAGGCCCCCATATTATGTTCAAGCTTTCGCCGACCTTAATGCGGAAACAACCCAGACAAGTTGTAGAGGCCTGAATATTCTGATTTGAGGTATATATCTTAATTACGAGGTATTGGGTTCTTTGGGAAGCCAGGTGGACATAGATGGGATGGATCAGTGTTTCACGTCACCTTGCTTTGTGCGCAACGGATCCTTGAGTGAAGCCGGTGTGCACACACCCTGAGGCCCCAAGCCCCAAACCTTGAACCCAAAGCCCCAGACCCTAAACTTTAAATCCCTCAAGGACCATTAATCTGGGGTGCAAACCCTAAACCCTAAACCGTAAACCCTGGCGCCGGCGCCAGGATGACACACACAAATCGAGAAGTGTACTCAACAAAAAACCGTAAACCCTAAACCGTGGCAAATCTGGGGTCCACCGAAATCGTAGACCTCTACATGGGTAGTTCTCTAAATTAGGGTCCCTTTTAGGGTTCCTTCTATAAGGGTGCCGTACTATATTGGGGACCTAAAAAGGGACCCTAATTTAGAGAACTACCCGCATGAACATCCACCCTGGCCAAACAAAGCATTCATGCCCGAATCACTCGGAGGCAGACATGGGCTCCACATGTTGACTCTACCTATAGTCTCCATTGTAGTTCCTTTTTGGGTATGCCTTATAAAACCCTTAATGTATAATTGGTTAAACCAAAAAAAGGAGCTACAATGGAGACTACAGGTAAACCCCAGATGGGATAGATCACCCTAAGGGTCCGTGTATTCATATAGCATATACATGGGCCCTAAAGTACCTATATAGGGACTACATTAAGGCCAATGTATAAATTATATAAACTATAGGAGCACATGCACCCTTAGTGTCACCCACTTTCCTGGAAGTAGTATGAGGGAGACCCCGGAAAGGGGACCCTTCTGAACCCTACTTCTCTTAAAAGGGACCTTATTGAGAGGGCCTCTGTCCCCGAAAATCCTAATGCCCACACTTGTAAAGCCTTGGAATGACTGCCCCAGGCTTCCAATACAGCTGATTGGCAGGAAACATGCATTACCTGAGGGATTGAAAACATGGGAAATATTGCATACAGCAGTCCTATTACTACCAGTGTTGAAGCTACCATTTTCTATTACGTAGCAAGCAACAAAACAATGAATATACAGCTGCAAATCTATATAAGAGCTAATATCATGGGATGTTCACAAGCCGTACGGGTCGTTAGGGCTCCAGGGTTCGCACCGATGAGGTTGGATGCACATGAGCATCTCTACGCCCGAGGCGGGGAGACAAGCTTCAGGGTTTGGGGCTTATAGGCTTTAGTTTAGGGCTTATTGGGTTCTAGGGTTCGGGGTTCCCCACGAGAACACGATCGTCACGATCGACATTCTTTGTTACTCATAAACTGTGATTCTTAATCCCTAAACCCTAAACCCTAAACCCTCAACCCTCAACCCTCAACCCCAAACCCTAATACACGGCAAATGTTTCTGCAGTGCTGGATGCGCGACAGTTTGGTTAGAGCCTCAGAGTTGTAGGCATCTTGCTTGGAGGATCATGGGACTTAGTAACTAGGTTGATAATCTAGGGTAACTATAAGTATAACCCCACTTAGGGTACTTATAGCCTTACTTACTAAGCTCCGTGATCCTCCAAGTATAGACCCCGAAACTATACCCGTACAGCGACCATCGTATGCTGCATCGCCCCTTCTACACGTAAGCCTTCGTGAAAGCAGAAGGATACAAGAAGTCATCGTATGTAGTGGCCGGATGCTTTGTGAAGCTTCCAACAGGAACCCCCTAATAGTCTCATCTGAGCATAAACATGAAGAGGAACCCTATCGCCACCCGTACCCCGAAGGGTCCAGGTACTCAATATATAGCATATACATGGGCCCTAGAGACATATATGGACCACATTAAGGCCAATGTATATACTATATGAGCACATGGACCCTTAGGGTACATGAGCCCTCAGCTTATGGGAACCCGTTGTAACCCTGCAAAATGGTAGTCAGACAGGATCTCTAAGCCCTGAAGCCCGAAGAACGTAATTGCGGTTTAGGACGTGGGGTTTAGGGTTTTGGGCTTAGGGTATAGGGTATATAGGGTTTAGGGTTTTGGGCTTAGGGTTTGGGGTTTAGGGTTTAGGGATGTGTGCGGCCGGCGGTAGAGGGTGGCCTCGGAGGTTTCAGAGGACGAAGGTCTTGCCATGCAAAAGGGTAGTTCTCTAAATTAGTATTAGGGTTCCACGGTTTTGGGTTTTGGGTTAGGGTTACGCCCCCAAAATAGTACGCCACCCTTGCAAAAAGGACCCTAATTTAGAGAACTACCCAAAGTGTTCCAGAGCAGTGCAACTGGACCGAGCAAGATCTAAAGCAGCTCATGGCCGACGAAGAGCTAGATGTGGTCTGGAGATTTGGCATGAGAAGCCGTTGCCCGTACAAAGGTCTAGGCTTCGACCGCTACCCTAAACCCTAAACCCAGGCGCTTAAAAATCCTCTACCCTAAACCCCAAGCCTAATCGTGTTTCACAAGCTGCCTCGCCTGCACGGGAACCAGTACTTGAAGGATCGTGGGTTTTAGTAGCTAAGGTTTAGAGGTCCCTGTTATAAGGGGTTTATAGGGGTACGGTAGGCGTCAGGGTTTCAGGTTTTTGCGTGTCTGTTGATACCCAGCTACGAATAGCCTTCTTGAATGATGCAGGCTTTTTGGAGACGAAGAGGACAAATCCTTACATACCTGTCACACATGGGCTGAAACGCCCCAGATGGTGGACATTCCCAGAGCATTACTTTGTTGGGATTCGGGGCCCTTCATCGGGAACTCGCTCATAGATAACGTGCGCACCAAAAACAACCTGTTCCCAAACCCTGCTCCGATCCTCAAGACCCTTTTTTGCAGCGATTTGTTTTTGTAAGATTCATGTTCCTGAACAGTCCAAACGTGTGAGAAAGTTGACGAGCAGGTTCCCCTAGCAGTGGATCTAGCCTCCGGCTTTCCCAATCTGGACACTTGCGTTCCCTAAGGGTCCATGTGCTCATATAGTGTATACAGTGGCTTTAATGTAGTCCCTATATAGGTACTTTAGGGCCCATGTATATGCTATATGAGTACATGGACCCTTAGGGATTGTGCCTTGTCAGTATGTGCTTGGAGGAGCAGCCCAGAAGCCACGTCATTAAGGAGCATGCCTTGAATCATTATATTCCGTATGACAGTTAAGAAATTTGGGAGCAAAGGTGCGATGGGGTAGGCAACTACAGCGCCAAACGCGACAAAATAGGTTAGTATGACCCCTGAATTGCAGGAAAGAACCTGTAAAATCACGAGGTAGTTGGGGCCACATATAAACTCCAAAGGCCCCTTGCAACTGTAAGCCCCCTGTACATCTTGTAGTATAAGTTCGGTATAATGTATACGAGTTGCGGGTTTGCCAGTCTCACATATATACAGCCCTTATCAAGCATTTTTAAGATCTTGCGTAGTTATGAGATCGCCTTAGAAAGTCTTTAGAAGCCCAGAAATCCTAGAAGCACCCCTGCACAGCCACAGAAGCTCTTCCAAATTCCTCTACCCCGAAGGTCCATGTGCCCAAGTAGTATATACATAGGCCTTAAAGTAGTCCCTGTATAGGTACTTTGGGCCCACAGTATGTACTATTTGGGTGCATGGACCCTAAACCCGAAGCCCTAAACCCCATAAAC